TCTCACGGACGTTTCGTGACATTCCCCGTGATCTATCACGAGTCTTCATGACAGTGAAAGTAAGATTCAAGCTGGACTAAAGGCCACAGGCTGCCTCAAGCCTACTTTGGTTCCAGGATGTTCAAGGTAGTTCAAAGTATTTAGCGCGAGTTCTGGTTTGATTGTATTGGCATACTGACTGTCTTGCGTTCTTTGTTTGGCCTTTCTGCCAAGGCTACCACCAACTTTGGTTGATTCAAGGTCCTGCCACCCTATGAACACGTGTTTCCAGATCGCCTATCCTTTGACCCAAATGTTACTGTAAATGTTAAATCGGGTAGAAAATGTTACCGAGCTTCACTTTGTATCAAAGGTTCAGCTTGACTACAATGCCCTGCCTGGCCATGGCTGCCGCATATCACGGGCTCCACAAGGCTATGAGGCTTCAAGAAAGGTGCTTTCTGAATCTTTGGAGCATTTCCTGCTGTGTTGCCAAGGACTGGAATTAGCTATTTTGCTCTTGCCTGTTCGCTCAACGTTCAGTGGGAAATCGAGGCAAATCTGACGTCGCAGCAAACAGCTCAAAACAGTTTGTCCGTGTCAGACTACATAGTCACATAGTAGTCACCAAACCACTGTCAATCAGCATGCCAGCATGCAAGCTGCGTTCTCAATCATGTGTAAGACAACGGAGCGTGTGTTGCGAGGATTCAGTGGCATCATGTTGGTGACCTCTGTCTGTTCCAAGAAGCTCCTGTTTTGCATCTTCCAACCGCAGTTCCACGCGTGCCAGGGCATCCTTAATCGAGCAGTGCAGGAAACACCTGTTCTTGCAAATAATTTGGCTCTGGCAACCAGAAAGCTAGCAGGTGAACGTCTGCAACTTGTTGTTCCGCCACCAAAACATAAATGTACCAGCATGTCGTGGGCCATTCGCTCGAAATCCAACACAATCAAGTCTCAAGAGCAAGAACATTGAACTACTGTATATAGGCTATAGGGAGACACAGTAAAGAAAGAGAGAGAGAGAGAGAGGTAGTGTATAAAACTGTTGGCAAGTCTGAATGGAACACGGAAATAGAACCACACACCCGTATTGAGGCAGGCAAAGGAGCAGGCACAGCAGCACTTGGTAGTATACTTTCTTCGTCTAGGTCTTTCGAGTTAGATACACGGGTAATGCTTATGCAGCCGGTGTCCTGAACTTCCAAATCCATAAAGTTCTGTGCAGCAGCCCGGGACAGGTCTTGCCTTGCAAAGCAGGCAACTTCATCAAGAAAACTAAACCTTTACGGCTGAAGGCAGCAAACAAATCTGTCAATGCACCAAACAATGTGTTGGTGTATCACCACGTGCTTCATGTGCGCCTCGAGCCGTGCAAATCGCCCAGCTGTTCCCGAACAAGGCCACGACAACGCAGTGCCGGCAAATGTTCAGGCACCTGCATTTGGATTGAAAGAAAGCCCTGAATGGAACTGGGGCAGCTCTCGCACATGTACTGAACAAGTGTCAAGTCACAGCCGATACAAACATACCTCCGTCAAACCTGGACTTTGTGCTAATATAAGCAAATTCAATAGGGTTTGAAACTGCAACAGCAACCTTGCAAGGATGAGTATTTGCTGATGTGTTGGCAGATCCCGATCCCCTTTACCCCAACCTCCTGCAGCACCAGCGAGGTGGTTGCCTTCAGTCACAGATCTTCTAAATTAGTCATACAAGGAAGACACCTTTCGAACCTGCAGAATCATTGCAAGTCCCGCTTTTGCATGGAAAACACTGTCTGCCGGGAACATCCTTCACCACAATTTTGTCGGCGCCTCAGAAGCATGCAAACTATTATTCTTCTCCAAAGATGCAGCCTGCAAGCAAGCAGGCGATTGATGATAGACACGGGTCAAAGCCATACCTCTGGGTATGTTTGGTGTGGTCAAGACCAAAGCATCATGATCGGTGTTCGTGGAGGTTGGCGATTTCAATACCGGCACCTGCCCCTTACATTAGAACACCAAAGCAGTGACATAGTCTGTTGTGTTCGTGGCAGACAAAGCTCCAGCTACATCTTTCAAACAATGTTACATGAGCAGTCGAGAGGATACAATCAGTGAGACACAAGACCCACTTCAAGTCGGCCTCGCACATCAAAGTCACCCAGAGGTCTTTAGCCTACAGTGAGTTTGCACCATGTGAATGGGAAGGCAACAAAAAAAGCTCATGAGAGACTCAACTGCTTGAAAGAGCCTTTTTACCTGCCAGCTGACGGGCAGTTGAAGCTGCTGACTTCCAGGCCTGAAACAAGCCGTTCTAGAAATCAGGCACTCAAACCATCCAAATTTAAGGGTCAAAGCAATGGCCTCAATTGCTTCGTCGAACTTTTGCTTATTGCAGGCCTTCCAGTTTGGGACAAACCTCCTTTTGACATCCGCACGGATTTGTCTAAGAATGTCGGAGATTAAGAAAAGCTAACGAAGTGAAAAACTAATTTGCGTTGTTTTTTGGAGTTAATGTCTGTATTTTCTGTCGTCTGAGAGACCTTTTTCACCGCTCTGCCCCGCAAGGACGCGCCCAACAGGCTTCAGAAGCAGCCCTGCTGCAGCATTCCTGATCAACAGGAGAAACGCGCCTAACCCACTTACATCGTTTAGGGTGGAGGCCATCACTAGTAGGTTGAAGGCCATCGCTCTTACATGCTTTTCCCACACAATTCAGCTCTGGTTGGAGCCTGACCTGAGACAGCTGGAGGCAACTACCCGTAGACAATGGACCCTCTTTCTAGGATTGTATTCAGGCTAAACAGTGCTAGTTGATATATATATATATATATACACACATACACATTTACATATTAATGCTACTTCCCTGATATGAGTTTGCACTTTCTCCATTGCGCTGAAAGGGAATACACTGGCAAAATAAAACTTGCACTGCAGTATGATTGGACTTTCGTTTCATCAGGCAAGTATGAACTCCAAGCTAAACTAACTACTTGAGAAGCGGGAGCGGTAGCGAGAGAATACTTTGCTCATTCAACCACCATCTGCAACAGAATTACAGTAATTACTATCAATGGAGGCGATGGTGTACTCTGTCATGCTTCAGCGCGCTAGTGTCACCAATAAGACTTGTGTGGAAATGTCCGAATTCTAATCTGGAACAACCTTGTGTCACTAAGCTAATTCAAATCACTCAAATATGATGCTTGCGATGCGTGTGTCCTAATGTGGGGTGGGGACCAACAAGTTTCGCTATCAGTTCGTGAAAGGAGGAAGGGGTCTTTCGTAAAGTAGTGGTATATCAATTCGGTCCTTTGGAATGATCAATTCTGAGCCTCCCCTTGTAAACGAAAACTTCTGCAAACCTCCTCCTGGAGCTCGCTTTCGTGATATACCCACATGATCTCAAATGCCAAAAATATCCAAGACGCTGCTTGCCCCCTCGGGCTCCGTCCACCAGCATCCAGCCACCTCCCGCAGTCTCACTAACATCTGATTTCTGAACATGAAAACCCTCATGTCGTGCGAACCTGCTAGCCCTCACAATGTATATAACGTGGCGCACCTGATTGAAGCTCTACCCAACCATCAAAGCCACGCCCTGTGCAGTGCACAGTCTCTCCCATCTTCCGGGCGCCAAGAAGCTCGGTAGCGGTGCTTGGGCCCTGTAGTATCATTGCAAGTGGCAAACTCAAAATAGAAAGCTCCTCTATTTTGCCCAGGAGGTAGGCCGTAGAGGTAGCTAGTAGTAGCTGGGGAGTCGCTAGTGCCGCCAGTAGCTTAAGTAGCTACTACCAACAGGACGCAGGATAGCTCATGCTTCTTGAAGCGCCCGCACCAATGATTTGGTTTCTAGATTTCTAGGGAAACTTATATAACTATATTAGACCAAGGCTGGATGAAGAACTTTAAGTGTGCAACACATGACGATAGCTTGCCTTCCGAACAAAGACCATTGGTGCAAAGACTACCTCGTATGACTCATGAACCGGTTCTTCAGGCTGGGCCGCATCTTCCTCCCATCCCTGCAGTCAGGTTGATCATTAGTTTGGTGTGGCCACATGTTGCCGATGCATGTACGTATATATATATATAATTGTGGCAATCAAAAACACACTTTAGAAAAGTGAATTGTTTCAACAGCCTCGGGAAGAATGCTGCTCAGGGCATGCAAACGCAATCTGGGATTCTTCAGCGCTGCGAAGATTGAGAGATTGGAGTCAACGCAAATCAGCTCTTCACATTTTGCCAAGCAAAGCGCATCAACTAGAGCATCCTCTGCATCTGCTTCTGCACAGGGGTTTCGGTGCACCTTGCAATAGAAATTGCGATAAACAATCTTGTCAACGCATCTTGTCAAAATGACGTGCAAAGCAGCACAGTCAAGTTTTAAGGCAACAATATGCAACAATCCTCAACTGCGCTATCTTTGACTTTGCTTGACCACTGTTAGCAACCTCATTGTCCACGCCATCTTCACGGACACCTCCGACAGAGCGCTTCACACCATCCCGGCAGCAAAGTTTCACACTGCTGTTCGCGAAGGCCATTTCGAAGTCGATCACTGCCTGACAAATGTGTTCAAGAGACTTCAAGAGGAAAAGGTTGGCGTGAGCTTGATCTTTTCATGTGTGTTTTGTCAATGCAGGGAACTGACCTGCAGGTGCTGCGACCATAGTCTTCTCTACCTCTCCCCGATCGTTTAAGTCGCTGGTGGACAAGCAAAGGAACCGGATTCGTGTCCTTCGTGCCAAAAGAACACCCCTTAAGCCTAGACAGTGCTGCGTAGACTGATTCTCGAAACTGAAGGTGTTCCGAGCGTTCCGAGCTTGCAGTTGTCCAACTCGTGTCGGTTCAGAAAAGGTCATGTTGTAGGTACGGGACTGGCGTGAGCCGTTCTCTGATTTGATTTGGTAAACATCGTGCTTCTTGATGAGTGCCTGGATTTCACGCAGAATTCAAACAATAGAAACCTGAGCTCAGGCTCAGAACCTCCTTCCGTTGAGAAACTCTTTTGAAGGTCGGGTGACTGCATTCAGGATCATCTGGGATCCATTTAGTAAAAAAACAACTCAAGACCAGCTCAAATGCTTGAATAGCAACTCTTCCAAAAACCTTCTGATGGCCTGTCTTCATTCCAAGAACATGGAATAGCCATGAAGAAAGAGGACCCCAGGTCAAAGGAGATATTCGTAGTATAGTGATCAAATGTACCAAACTCGGCCACCGCACGTACGGTTTGATACTAAAACGGCTCAACAAATTAGGAGCACTCAGGATGGTATTGAATGCTGATATTCAGCTACTTGCATTTCTGTGGGTCCAAACAACAAACATGCTCTGTTTCAAGTCGAAGGCCTGACTATCATCCGTCGCCAGGAAAATAATCTTCTGCTTCTTGCCACTGGCAGCACAGAGCTTTCTTGCTCTGGAGATGTACTCCACATTGCTAGGCGCGCGCTGCGACAACTGGCAAGCAACCATCTCAGAGCAAGCAAGACGTCTGTGCACGCCTAGGACGTAGGTATCCTGGCAATCTGGACAAAACAGCAGTCGTGTAGGTCCTACATCTTCCAGATTCCGAAACGTTCTAGTGCAGTTTAGCCATTCCTCTGTCCACTCTCTGCAAATACCCATCAGCTGCTTTTTGATGTGCATTGTTGGCTCAAGCTCACCTTGGGAAGTCTCACTACGTCTCACTCGTCACTACGCTACTCATCTGCCACCGACTGGAAAAACTTCACATTGCGCAGGACCAGGTCTGCTCGGCTCTGAGTGTTGTCAAGCTACTGATGGCTGCTGCATAGCTTAAGCGCAAGTGTTGGAGATCATGTTCAGGCATGGACCATAAGTAGCCCCGCAGCATGTTCATGAAAAGACAATTGATCCGGCCAGGCCTCAATGCCAATCAAATGGAGGACGTATATTTTGGGCAAGCAGGACTTTTGAGCAACGTGACAAATGACCCAAGATTTGATGCTATCTTTTGAGATCGGAGCATAGTAAGGCCATCTTCGCACTGCAATGTTTCGGCAGAACCTGAGTGTGAGTCGTCAAGGGCTTGTTGCTTCAGCTGTTTAAAGGAGCCACTAAACAAAACGTAGATTTCTGACAAGTTACGACACCGCTTGTTCGGTTCGAAGAGATGGCTCCACAAGTCAAATCCCTCAGGTCCGTACTGGAAGTGGCCTCGTTCTCCGAGAACACAAAATTGAGAGACACATGGCCAGTTCTTTCACATCGATCGGAAATACCTTCCCTATCATCCTAGTAACGCCATGCTTACAGAATTGAAAGTTTGCTTGCCATTGCCAAGTTGGCGTGCCCACCAAGTCCAGTGATCTTCACAGCAACTCAGTAAAGGAATGAGTATGTCGTGTTGTCTTGCGCAGGCCTGCCTTCAGATCCTTTTCTTCTCCAATCAACCAGCACAGGCACACCTTCCATACATGGTTGCACATGTTCATGATTGTCTAGACTCCTCTGCTTCAAGAGAAAACAACCGCATGACAGCAAATGCACATGCTTTTGACCAATGAACCTGTGGCAGTGTGTGCGTTGCGCAGGAAAAATTGGAGCTATACTGAGGCCTGGTTTGGTCAGCAACAGCGCGTCGCAGACCTGCACCCAATCTGAAGAGTTTATCACAGCTCACAACTGATCACACACGGATTTTCATCTGTCAGTCAACCACAGCAAGCGTCCTGCAATACGTTTGCAAAAAGGCCGTTGTCGTGATATGGCGTCGAAACCGATGCGTAGTCTGAGCACCGTAGGGCCAAGATCTTCTTCACCTTACAATCCACATGATCGTACACACACACACACACACACACACGCGACGCACCAAGTGTGCTGACATGTGCTGCGTGAGGGGCGAACTCCAAGGGCTAACAAGGAACTACAGTAAAGGCGAACCAGCTGAGGCTGTTGTGAACTACATTGGGGCTATCCGCTATCCAAAACCATCGTTATATTTTTACTGATCACAAAACCCAGTGCTCTCCGGGCAACCATGGAAAAGGACGTTTTGCATGCGTATGAGCTCACTGAAGGCCTACCAGCGCCACCTGAGACTTGGCAATCAAAAAACCACTCGGGGACCGAAAGGAAAAACAATAACACACCATGTTGAGCATAACAAATGACATCAAATGACAAACAATGGAATACAAATTCCCTCACATTCCCAAGTACGGAATCACTTGCATGTCGATTACAATTACAAAAAATCATATCCTTCAATAGGTTGCTGCCTCGAGAACAAACACCATACTTCAGCCAAAAAGCGGCATGCTAGCAATGCGTGGCGAGCGCCTCAAGCAGAGGGGCTCAGCCCTTTAAACTGCCGACCACGCCCATTTAATGAATCATCAACCGCAGAAGCAATACAAGTGAGTCTCTTTTGGCTCACGATAAGAAGCTGCCTAATTGGTCTCTCACAGTGACGAGAACCCAACAAATTGCGGCGGGTGGGGCTTTTAGTCCGCTGGGAAGGCTAGAACACACTCTCTTCTCCATCATGATTGATTTGGTTCCCACCCTTACCTCGAGAGGCAAGTTGGTACGGTTCGTGCATAGTCTCTCTGATGGTCCTGGATTCTTGAGCTGCATGCTTGCATCAGATTGTGGCACTTAAGACTTGAGAGGTCCAGAGCATTTGTCCGGTTTTTGCTTTGCACGAAGCTCCCAGCCTGCCCATTTTTGCTGGTTTGCGAGAGTTGTTGATGTGGCATAGTTTCAGGTTGCAAGTGGCAGGCGGCTTTCTGAAGTATGGCGACGGAAACGGGCTGTGATTAGAATAAGCTTTTGTGCTTTGCAGGTTGCCCTGCGCACGTTGGATTACTTGTGGCAAACAGCTTTTCAGCCCTTGGGACCAAACTGTGTGCTATGCCCTTCGAATCTTGGGATGGTTTGCGCAGTTTGACACCTCAAGTGGCTATCAGAAGTTCTCGTGCTAGCGGCAAGGCGCAAATGGCGTGTGAGTTTATGTCTAAGTTTAAGGAATTTTGCAGGATTTGCTTCAGTGTGAACCGCCAGTCAAAATACGCTGCGAGTAAACTCGTATTTCTTCATGAAGGAGCAGAAAACCCAACAAACACTCAAACTCATGCAAGTTTCCTCAATAAGAAAATGATGAGCACTAGATTGCACTCAGACTCTCAATCATGGCACCACTTAGTAAACGCCCACTCGATGTTGCTACTTGTTGTCACACTTTGAACCTGTGTGGCATGTCTCTGACGAACCACCAAGCCTGCGAGAACGCAAGCAGCTTCGTCTCCATCTTCAATATTTCGGAGGAACTCTCGCAAACTTTTCAGAAGTTGTTGAACGTCTCCGCTTTGCTCCTTTATTGCGAACATGAAGGGGTGCAGGGGCAAGGTTGATCCGTCCGCTGTTTCAGTCACTCGGAGCTTTGCTGTTTGTGTTTGGCAACCCTGAATCCGCCTGGCTGACTTCGTCAGTTTTGTTGTGCTGCTCAAAAAGGATGAGGTCTCGGGCATTCACAAATTTTGTGTCCATAGTCTGGGTCAACACTGCACCTCGAGAAATTCCCTGGCAATATATCTAGAGGTATATGTGCTTAACACAACAGTCTTGAAGAAACCTGTGAAATGCTGCTTTCGGTCAAAGCAGGAACAGTGGTCCAAACTCTTGTGACTCTTGTGACTGATTGAAAATATTCTGCAGCAGGATCCTTGCTTGAGTCCGGGAGGGCTGCTGCGAAGAGCTGCAGCAAATCCTCGAATGCATGGCGTCAGCAATGTGAAAAGCACAGGTGGTCAGCCTTTCATTGTTTGCAACTAATAGTTTCCTAGTTACCAGTTTCTCTAGCTGGTTACTTAGTTGCATACGTACTTACTTACATACATACCTACTTACTTATTTGGCTATACTTAAGCAACTGCTACGGCCTACCCGGCCTACCCCGCATTAATGATATGACAATTTCACAGCCGGCAACACTCCTCGAAGCCCTCATGTTGTTTCGACACCATCGGTCTTTCACTGGCACTCTCAAGGGCTGCAGTTCTGGCATCGTGCTGCTAAAATGGGCAAACACAAAACTTCTGTGTAAGTAAGTAAGTAAGTCAGTCAGTCAGTAAGTCAGTAAGTAAGTGAGTAAGTATGTATGTATGTATGCCTGTCTTTCTGTCTGTAAGTAATTAAAACAAGAAGAGTAAAGAAAAGTAAAATAAAGCAAGTAAGTAAGCAGGTAAGTAAGGAAGGAAGTAAGGATGGATGGAAGGAATTAAGGAAGTAAGCAAGTAAGTAAGTAGATAAGCAAGTAGGTAAGTAAGCAAGTTGGTATGTATGTGTGTACGTAGGCATGTACGCGTGTATGTTTCTATGGATGGCTCTGTATGTGAGGATGTATGGATGTATGTCTGTATGTATGCCCGTATGTATGTGTATGTGTGTGTATGTATGCGCGCATGTATGTATGTGTGAATTTGCACGTGTATGTATGTATGTATGGATGTCCGCGTGTAAGAATGGGTGTATGAAGGTATGGAGGTATGGAAACATACATGAGTGAGCGTATGTATTTGTGGATGTTTGTATGTGCGTATGTATGGAACAACCGGTGGACATGTGTTTGTATGGCCTTCACTGACAAGTAATCAACCTTGTTTTGGATCCTACGCGTGCTGCGGAGGAATGGCACCAGCTTGCATCTCACTCAGTCACAATTGGTCGGCTAACTGACTGATTAGTCTTGGTGAATCTGGTGGTTTTGGCTTCAGTGGCTGTCGCCTCATCGCCCTTGTCTTTGAGGGCAACAACCTCTGCAAAATCTGGGCTCTGAACACCTGACAGCGGATGCAGGACAACGCCGACAAGCACGTCTGACCACAACATTATCTTGCCTTGAGGCATATGTGACTCCTTCACCTCGGCCACGTCCACCCAAGGTTCCAGTGTGTACACGCGGATCTATAAATAGATGCGTTTGCATATTATACTAATATTATACAGTACAAACCCGCTGCATATGGGAGTCAGCTGAAGGCGTCTCAGTGAGCTTGTACCAGCGAACAACAGCTTAGAACCCCCACCCTTCCTCAGCCCTTACTTTGATCGCAAAGCGCTGGGCATGACTTCCGTGCAAGGGGCTGCTGACTGAAGGCCTGGTAACCTCACAAGTATCGCCCAGTTGGATGTAGGAGTTGGTTTACTCCTCCAGGCAGCCTGTGGCATACGCGTCTTTGGCCGTACGCAAGACTTTCGGGCTATCCTCCGTCCACTTCTTGTTCATCTTGACAGACCTGACAGCAAGCCTGCCGCCTGCCAGCATCTTCCGGTCCCTGCTTTTCCTGCGCCAAGAGACTACATCACTTCGCCCGTGGTCAAAGAACTCGACAACGACTGCTCAAACACTTTCCAGCAGGCGTCACGAAGGTATGGTCGAAGTACATGGCTGCCCCGCCGACAGGACAACTGGCGATCTTGTAATGTTCTACATCCGCGCAATGCAGCATGGGACTGAGGTCTTCTGAGGAGGAAAGCTACCTCCTGCGAGTCGCAGCTGCCGCTGGACAAAGTTTGGGCTTCACCTTTGCTATCGTCTTGGACACTAACAAGCGCCCCCACCTCCAAAGTCCACCCCGGAGGTCATGTTCGCACGCTCTCTCTCTCTCTCTGTCTCTCTCTCTCTCTCTCTTCCCGCAAAGTATTGCGCAGCTGATCTGTACTGCCCCAGCTAAGTTAGTCGATGTGAAAAGGTATGCTCTGCTAGGATATCCCCCAGGTTGGTGGCCCTGTCCTGCCACCGCTTGAGTCAAGCCTGTGCTGCAAACTTGCCTGCCTGAAACTCTTCCATGGCCTTCTGCAACACCACCTCATCAGCCCCCCCTTCAACAGCTGCTCAAAATACTGCACTATCGCTTTCTCTGCGGCCGTTTTATCCAGAGCTGTCTTCTCCTTTCCTTGGACATTTGTCTGGAAAGGTTGCAGTGACTCTGCGGGTACACGTTCGGCGTCTTCAAGGGTCTCTTCCTCGCCTTCCGTCTCTGCCCGCCAAGGACCTAAGATCGGGTCTCTCTCTCTCTCTCTCTCTCTCTCTCCCCCCACCCTCCCTGTCCCCTCTCAGCATTGCTGTGCTAGGCACTGGATGTTGCTGGTCCGCGCTGAACTCGGCACTTGCCTCACACACGGTTTGTGTGAGATGTGAGGTCCCTTGACCTCGTTTGCCAGCATAGTCTGTTGTACGTCTGTGTGTAGGAGGCCTGGACACCTTCATGAACCGTGCATTGCGCCTGTTGCGGGTTCCCCATGTGGCAACACTGGTCGCCTCAGTACAGCCCGAACCCGTCTAACGAGGCAGCTTCTCTGCTGGCGCACGGTTGTCTAGCCACGGCCTGCGACTCCACGAAGCTTGCGCCTGTCGGAAATTAACTGTTGCATCCAATGCTTGCACCGGATTCGCCACTATCTGCCCTGCCTGCGCAGCAGCTTAGCCGGCTATGGCTCCCAGCGAAGGTTTTGTCAAGGCCATCCTATCACATGCGACTCTGCTTCTTGAGCGGTCCACCACCCTTGCCACGCCCCTCTCTTTCCTCTGTCTTTCGCGCCCTTCTCCTCCGTCCAGCCTGGTTGTGAGGTCAATCGATGGACCTGCATGGCTGGCGACACCCACTCACACGACACCACTCACAGACATGCGCAAAAAACCTTTATCACACTTGTCACTGCTGCAGCCATCTGTTGCAGCAGCTGCCCTGCTGCGAAAATAGAGGCAATCTTTTCTCTGTGCATCGAACTGACTGGCTCTTCTTCTTCGGTGTGGGCTTCACATAGTTCGGGCCCTCTAATGGCGGCACTTGTCGCCTGGCTGGCACTGCGCGGGCTGAGCTCAATGCATACAATTCCCATTCCAAGGCTGCTCTGGAACATGGTAACATGGGCTGCGTCATGTGAAAGGCCTCCTGCTTCCTTTTCTCCTGTGAGGGGGCCCTAAGTTGACATCTCCCAGGTGGCATGCCACACATTGAACGAGCCCGGCCTCCATCCCAATCCGCTGCGCTGCATCTGACACAGAATTCCACCCAGCCAACACCGAATGGTCCAGACGAGGCCCTCCATGCCTAAGAACCCCCACTTATCTTTGTAGGTGGTTTTGGACCCATACTTGAGCCAAAATGGGGACCGAGTAATCTTAAACCCACCTATCCACCCAAAAGGATTACCACCGCTTTATTTTACTCCGGCACTTTGGCCTTCTCCACAAACAAGACTAGTAAAAGGGAAACTGCCAAGTCAGCATCCCAGACCAGTCATTGTTTTTTCTCAAGGATAACGCGACACAAGATCACTTGGAACAAACATGTCATGGCTATGAAGTAGGACATATGCTTAAGACTCGGACACATGGTTTCACCTCCTTCTGTACGGGCTCTGGACCAAAGTGCTCATCCAGAACCCTTTCAACTAAAGGCCTTGGTGGATTTCAGGCTCGCTTGGATACCAAGTTTGACTGCTTGAAACACTACACGGTTTGAGATGTAAGGGTAGCAGTGCTGCAAGGCTACAGGCAGCTGCAAGCAGTCCCGAATAAGTAGCAGTGAGAGCAATAAGCACTAAAGGAGGCACTAGTGGTGGCGCTGCTGGTGGCACTGCTGATGGTTGCCAGATTGACGTCCACGCTGAAGCAAAACAGAACATTTGCACAAGTGGAGTGGCTGCAAGGTAGCGTGTAGTTTTGGACACCAGTCAATTTGACGCACTGGGGTTGGCACCCCACTTGGTGCCAAGGAATTTCTTCGCACACAGGCCACTTGGTGGGCTCCTGACAGATGAAGGAGTCCTCCATGAAATAGGCATGCAAATAAGCTTAAGGAGGGCAGGAAGAAAAATCGAAAGGAGCAAAATCTAAAGGTCTAAAACATAAGTGATTATAGGTTTAAAAATACAAGCAAAAGGCATACATAATAAATATATATATATAATACACAATTAAATCGCGGAATCCCTGTTTACATCTTCGCCTCATCCCCATCTACATCAAATGTCTTGGCAATAGCATCCCACTCGCTGTGGTTGCGTGGCCTTGGTGTCATTAACAAAGGCACAACTTCCACACCTTGTTGTGTGGCTTTTCGTTAGCAATTATGTCTGAGCTTCAGGCTTGCTCATTGATTTGCACCAATCAGAAGCACTATAAGCATCAGTATCAGTCACACCGGCCAACTTTCTGGAGACATGCCTGGCCTAAACAAGATTAATCAACTACATGCTCAGTTTCATTGATAGCGATGGTTTCATAGAAATTGTAAATTGGTACTGGCAGCAGTACAAATTACACCACCGTAGACCCCAAACAGTTTGTGTGTTTCAAAATCGAAACTAGAGCTTGCGACGTCCAGAGCTGGGAGATAAATGTAAAGGATTGCAAGGCAGAGACGGACACAGCAGTACAGAGCGGGGGGACACATCTTAAGAAAGAAGTGAGAAGCCCTAACAGTAAACCTTTTGGGGAATTATTCTTCAAGCGCGAACATGATGCTGGTCATGCTGCTCAGTCAGCGGGGAGCTGACCACGTGAGGACAAGAAACAAAAGCATGAGGAGCGAAGGATGTGACATGAAATTGATTTTCGGTGCCTGACATACGCCCTCCGCCCCAACTGAATAGAGAGATCGCTGCCACGCCGCCGAAATCCAATCCGGTCATTCATCCAACGGTTGCCCGAGAAGGAAAACAAAGCTGAGAGAGTTACACAGTGTGGCAGGAATGCAATCCCGGAGACAGTCACGCACCCCTTGCAAAGGAGCAAGAACCTTTCACAGGCGAACCTGTTCCAGCGGACAGGGCAGAAAACAGCAGTGCAGGCACCAAACCTGAAAGACAAAAAGAAAGAAGTCACATGGGAGACAAATGAACGGCAGCACCAGTGACAGACCCGGGAAACAAATTAATAGAAATGCTGCATGCCCAGCGGAAAAGGGCGGATACCAACAGTGACAGACCTGGGAGACTAATGAATAGAAATGCTGCATGGCCGACGAAAAGGGCGGACACCAGCAGTGACAGACCTGGGAGACAAAACACTGGGAGTGACAGACCTGGGAGACAAATGAATAGAAATGCTACATGGCCAACGGAAAAGGGCGGACACCTACAGTGACAGACCTGGGAGGCAAATGAATAGAAACAGCGGAAAAGGGCGGACACCACCAGTGACAAGCCTGGGGGACAAATGAATAGAAATGCTGCATGGCCAGCGGAAAAGGGCGGAAATTAGCAGTGACAAAGACAAATAAATAGAAATGCTACATGGCATGACGGACCTGGGAGACAAATGAAGCATTTCTGGGAGATAAATGAAAAGAACCGGGAGACAAATGAAAGCAAGTGGGAGACAAGCGGGCCGGGAACCCGACCACATGCACCCAGCCTGGGAGACAAATGAAAAGAAGTGGCTGACAAATGAAAAGAAGTGGGAGACAAATAAGAGGAAGTGGGAGACAAGCCGGCCGGGAGCCCGACCACAAGCAGAAAAGAAGTGGGAGACAAATGAAAGGAAGTGGGAGACAAGCTGGCCGGGAACCCGACCACAAGCACCGAGCCTGGGAGAGAAATGAAAGGAAGTGAACCCGACCACAAGCACCCAGCCTACCGAGCCTGGGAGGCAAATGAAGGAAGTGGGAGACAAGCCAGCCAGGAACCCGACCACAAGCACCCAGCCTGGGAGACAAATGAAAAGAAGTGGGAGACAAATGAAAGGAAGTGGGAGACAAGCCGGCCCGGAACCCGACCACAAGCACCCAGCCTGGGAGACAATGAAAAGAAGTGGGAGACAAATGAAAGGAAGTGGCCTGGGAGACAAATGAAAAGAATTGGGAGGCAAATGAAAGGAAGTGGGAGACAAGCCAGCCGGGAACCCCGACTGAAAAGAACTGGGAGACAAAGGAAGTGGGAGACAAGCCGGCTGGGAACCCGACCAGACCATCCAGCACCAAGGCGACCATTCTTTAAAGCATTGAGAACCCCTAACAGTAAACTGTTTGGGGAATGAAAAGAAGTGGGAGACAAATGAAAAGAACTGGGAGACAAATGAAAGAAGTGGGAGACAAATGAATGCACGTGGGACACAAGCCAGCCGCAAACCCGACCCCAAGCACCCAGGGAGACAAATGAAAAGAAGTGGGAGACATATGAAAGGAAGTGGGAGACAAGCCAGCCGGAAACCCGACCACAAGCACCCAGCCTGGGAGACAAATGAAAAGAACTGGGAGACAAATGAAAAGAAGTGGGAGACAAATGAAAAGAAGTGGGAGACAAATGAAAGGAAGTGGGAACCCAGCCTGGGAGACAAATGAAAAGAACTGGAAGACAAATGAAAAGAAGTGGGAGACAAATGAAAGGAAGTGGGAGACAAGCCAGCCGGGAACCCGACCACAAGCACCCAGCCTGGGAGACAAATGAAAAGAACTGGGAGACACATGAAAAGAAGTGGGAGACAAATGAAAGGAAGTGGGAGACAAGCCAGCCGCGAACCCGACCACAAGCACCGAGCTTGGGAGACAAATGAAAAGAAGTGGGAGACAAATGACAGGAAGTGGGAGACAAGCCGGCCGGGAACCCGACCAGACCATCCAGCACCAAGGCGACCATTCTTTAAAGCATTGAGAACCCCTAACAGTAAACTGTTTGGGGAATAACAGTAAACTGTTTGGGGAATAAGAAATCTGTGTCAAATCCAATGAAGAGGTCTGCATCCCAATTCATCTGAGGCCAAAATGTCGCCATGAGGCAAGCTTGTTCAAACCCGCTTCAATACTCGTGCTCAGACCAAGCTCTCAACACACAAAGAGGAACTCCTTTATGCCTGATCGCAAGCCGACAAGTAACGTCATTGAAGCTACTCAGAAGACTTCTAATGGCCCTTGCGGCGCATGGCAGCCACGGCTTCTGTCATCTCATCACGCTTCTTCTTTCCACGGCGGTGGGTTCCAAGCCTCTTCTTGGCCAACTT